TGTCTGTTTCTGAGGCCGGGCCTTAGCTGGGATGGGGATCTTGTAAGGTCTCTGTGTTTGCTGTGCCTCACTGAATTCTTTCTGTCCGAAACCCAGGAACTCAAAGGTCCATTTGAGGATGAGTGTAAAAACTTGTGTTTTGAGTAAGTTAACAACATTTAAAACCCTGAGCAGAATTAAAATGTCATCAAATCCTTCCAATTTTCTCCTCCCTCAAGGCTGTCCCAGAATCTTGCATTTCTGTTTTCCCTTCCCTCACATTCACTGACTTGTTCACATTTACCAACTCTAAGCCAAGAGATCTTACCTGCTTCTTCACTTCAGTCTAATATTTTTAATTGCCAAAACCCTACTGGGAGAGACACTCTAGAAAAATAGAGCAGACAGTACTTAAGGGATCATTAATAACTAGACACCTGCTACACTGTCATTGGAGTTACATCAACATCAATAATTGCCTTTAACAATGAGAGATCCAAGGCATTAAGGTTTTCCTCCAATGTGCTGTTGATAGTTGTGGTAGAACCCGACAGAATTCATTTCCTATAACAAAGATGAGTTTCAATTTTTGATTGGCTTTTGTTTTCTTGAATAGGTTTTGGAGAGTCGTTTTTGATGAAGGGCTCTGAGCTGAACTGCCACTTTCCTTTTTGTCTTGTTCACAAGGAGTCTTGGAACAGTCTTGGAATCTGACCCATATGATAGAAAGGACTTTTGATTTCAGAACTCAGAATGTTTTTACTTATTTTTGTTCAGTGACAAACGCAGACAGACCCTCACAACTCCACCCAGCATGCTTAGCATTCACCTGTAGGTCAATAAAACCAGGCAGCCAGTGTTCAAAGTGAAGGGCATTTAATAAATCCAGGCAAAGGAGATTGTGTATAGGACTCATTCTTAGTGAATATTCATGTTCATCTTCTCAAAAGAATGTCTTCTTTGTGCTTTTGAATAGAGAATGACTTGGGGGAACATCAAAATTCAGGGGAAATATTCAGATTTTGGAAAAAAAATAAGTTTTACTGGCAAGTCTCATTTTTTTTAAGGCAGCTGTATAACCTTTAATTCATATGAACACCCACATATCTTTTGAAACCTGCTTTCTCACCACTCTGACAGTTAGAATTTTATCTCTTCACTGTTAAGATTTCTCTAGAGAGTGCAGGACTGCATCATTTTGACAAACCTGAATGTGAAGAGATGAATGCTCCTCATCTCTGAAACACTTCAGGGTAAGTTGCTTTAACCAGTTTCCTGTTTTCAGAGGCTATTTTTCTGTCATCCCTTCAGATCTATCAAAGTTCACTTAATTCTTTTAACAGCCATATTTTATAAAAAGTGGAATTCTTTTCACACTAGTACTTGTGGCTCTGAGATCTGGAGCCATCCTGACCACCGCTATTATCTCGAGGGCCATACGCTCTGAGACGCAGGAAGGAGACCAGTGTGTGCAAAGGAACCACCGCACCCATGCTCAGCCTGAGAACTGCTACTCACCCTGCTTTCTTTTTGCTTCTGGAAATCCCCCTTGCCTGAGGTGCACAGATTCCCAGCAGGGCAGGATGGAACATTTTTATGTTATAGTCAGCATTCAAAATATTTTGCTGAGGGGACATGGATGGATGTGGAGAAAAACCCAGAGTATTAATTGAAAACCAATTACTCTTAGCAGCTGAAAGCTCCCTTTGGCAGGCAGTTTGAGAATAGCTTTTTAAATAATAGTATAGAAAATGTATCATTCAAAAAATCCAGTGCACTGAAGTAGAGAAATGGCAAATGAAAGACAGTATTCTCAAAGACTAGATCAGGGGTTGATACACTACAGTCTGTGGGCCAAAGACGGCCCCTTGCCTGTTTTTGAGTGGCTTGTGAGCTACAGATGCTTTCTCCAATTTTAAATAGTTGACAAAAATCAAAAGACTAATAACATTTCTATGACACTTGAAAATGATGTGCAATGCAAATTTCAATGTCTGTAATAAAGTTTTATTGGAACACAGTCACATCCATTTGTTGACATACTGGTTTTGACTGCTTCCGTGCTATAGGAGAGTTAAACACTTACTGGGTCAGTAGTTGTGATGGAGACCAGACGGCCTTCAAAGCCTAAAATATTTACTACCTACCTTTGACAGAGTGTGCTGACCACTAGGCTAGGTTCTTGTATGACAGTTGAACTGATGCCATTTAAAAATATTTAATTATAAGAGAAGTGTTTGTGGTAAAATATTTAGTAAAACAATCATGACAAACTGTAGATATGAGACAGTCCCAAATAGTTTATTTTCCTTGCATAATTTTTGCCTCTTTCCCCTGGTGGAAGTGTCAGTGCCAAGAAGATAAATAGAAATTGGTATTTATTTATTAATTTATTTAGGTTCAGTTTCTAGAATAATGCTTGACACATAGTAGATGCTCCATAAACAAAGGAAGGCAGTCAAAGACCGATGGATTGTGTCATTGCATCATGTCTCTATGTAATAATAGTTATAGCAGAAGCTTTCTGGGATGTGCATATATGTTAGGCATCAGGTTGAGGACTTCAAATGCAAGAGCCCGTTTAATCCTAAAAGCCAGTTTGGGAAGGTACATTCTCACCCCCATTTTACAGAGGATGAAAGCAAGGCTTAGAGAGGTTGCTTAACTTGTCTAATGTTACAAAGCAAAGAAGTAATGTGACCAGAATTCAAAAGATCTGTTGGATTCCAGAGCCTAAGCTCTCACCAGAAGCTCGACTTCTTAAATTTCTAAAAACAATGCACATTTTGAGGTGAAAAAGAAAGGGATGGGAAAATACCAGAAGTCAGTATATAAATCACAGAACCAATTACTAAGCTCCTATCCGGAGCTTATAGATGATTTTTTGTTTTCTTAGCTTTACATGTTAATGTTTTTCCACATTTCCCAAAATGAGTAGATTTGCTTTTAATTGCTTTAAAATAAGAAACAAACGTTTTAAAGGAAAGGAAAAACAGCCCAGAAGGTTAACTGTTTCAGTTGTTTATGTAGATCATTTCCCTATTTCTCTGCGGGCCTCATGTGAATTGCTGAGGAAACGGCCGGCCTGTCTGTCTCCTGTATTGATTTGTGTTGTTGAGGTTCAGGATTAGGTTTCAACTCCCTTTGAATACTTCCTAGCCCTGAGAATCTAAAGTGCTGTCTGTGTATAACTTTAGTCCAGAGACACCAATGGTTAGAACTCCTTGGTGTTTATCTTTCGAAGTCTGAAGTACGCATGTCTTTGAAAGCGATGTTGTATCTTCCACTCATATTTGGTTACATTGGTCTCTACATGTGTCCCGCTCACGATGGACTGCTTTTACCTGGACTTTACTATTATTATTTGTTAAATTGGCGTCATATTTGGGGTCCACTCATTTAAAATTATATTTATTATATAAATATATATTATATATAATATTAATAATATATAATATATATTATATAATATATAATATAATTATATAAAAATATATAATAAAATTATATATATAATTAATATATTATATATAATATATTATATATAATATATAAAATATATATTATATTATATAAATATAATTTATATTTATCTTATACCTAAGAAGACAATTAGGTCCGAGCAGCCCCAAAACCATTTAGGAAAGTCAAAGGAAAGTAAAAGGGGAGATGTCTTTTAGATCTATGTTCTTTCTCTATTTTTTTTCTTGATTGTGTGTTGGTGATGGTAGCATACTTCCCCAAATCTAAAGGACTTCTTGCAAACCCAGGCTGAAATTGCAAGGCTAAAAGGAGGAAGATTTTTCTTTTGAATAAAACTGGAATGTAGGGGATCCGAATGATCAAGAGAACACTACTAAAATTATTGAGGTCACTGTAACAGCAAATTGAAGAGAGGTTAGAGAAGGCGACTGTTTCCTGTGGTAAAGGCCAGACAGAGATAAGAGCTCTACAAAAGGCAAACAAGCAAGACGGTAAAAATAAATGTCTTTATCCAAAAGGAATACAGTCATAGATCGAGAGCCTCTCAGGTTATTTAAAAAGGTTTTTAAAAATTCCTGTGATGTGTCTTAGACATTCCAGTCATAATTTCAGAGGCTTCTGTTGTCCAGGCCTGTTAAGAGTGAGTTTAGTGGACTTTTCCAGATCTTTGTGACTTTTTTTTTTCCCCCAAGAGCATCATTCTGATTTTTAACTTATAAGCAAAGCCGCTTAACATCATCTCTCAGTGACTTTATTTGTCAGAAATGGGGACTGGAAAGTGATGTCATTGGTTTTAAGCTTAAAGTGTCATATAATGGACCTTCGTGGTCTTCCCTGTTTATAACTTCACTTGGGCTCATCATTCTTTATACAGTCTAGCAGTGGCATTTCTAAACTATCAAGAGTGAGACAAAAACAATTAGAATGACAGATTTTTTTTTTTTTTTTACATATCATCTATGTGCTTGCAGTTGAAGAAACGCATTTGCTTAAATGCACTTTGTGAGGTTATGTGTGAAAAAATGATCCATTACCAAGAGCATTACTCTTTCCTTCAGAGAAGAAAAAAGTTTCCATCTTGCTTCTTTTTTCTTTCTTTGGAGATTATAGTAGCTGGTGTGAGCCATACAATTTCACTTTTAAATTTGCGACTTCCAAAAAATTCTTTTTCCATGGCCTCAGAAAATCAGACAGTTGTTATTACAAAGAGAGAGCAGCCCCTCTCAGACATTGAATAGACAATTATAAATGACTGGATTCTTTCCCTTTTTGTGGTGGCTGCTTTTAGATGTGGAATAAAACCACATTAACCAGAACATTGTTATTGGTGATTAGTGGCTTATTCCTGCGCCACATCAATAAAAGGTCTTGTCTCAAAAATCTTTCCTTTCGTTGTCTAACAGGGACCATGGAATATCATCTAATCAAACTTTTTTGGTAGGTGAGAGGGTGAAGCTGTGAGGGACTGCCTAAAGGCTCATACTGAGTCATGCTAAACATGCTAAAGTGAGTTTGGTTTTTTTTTTTTGGATCTGTAGATGGCCGCCCATGTCCTCTCATTCTCTGGGACTCATCTTTATCTCCAACAAGTAATGAGACCCACTCTTCTGTTAAGCTCACCTGGGGAACTTACCAACAGTCGTTGAAACAGAAGTGCTGGCAGAATGGTCGAGTACCCAAGCCTGAATGGGGTTGTACTGAAATACATCACCACGAGTGGTCCAAGCTAGCACTCTTTGATTTTTTGTTACAGGTAAGTTTATCAAGTCAAGTAAGGGGTTATCTAAGGCTGACACTGAGTTACATAAGTCTAACACTAAGGAATTTTCTATACTTTGAATTTTCATGAAGCCAGAGTTTAAGTTCTATAATGCTATATTTGGCAAGTGTAATACTACATTGCAAAATTTTATATTCTTTTGGGAAATATTCAGAAATGTCCCTCAGCTCTCATATGAGTTTCTGAAGGAGTAATTCTTCAGTATTTCGGTCCTGCAATAGTCATACTTATCATAGATCCAACTTATTGAGGAAACCCATCAACAACTCTTCAAGGTGCATGGTCTTCCGTCATTTGTGAGGTGAGTAAACTGATGTTTCATGAGGTGAAGGAACTCACCCACATTCTGACAACTACTAAAAGCTGGAGTTGGGGTTCCCTGGGATCTGTTGATGGTAAAAATTTGTCTTCTTTTCACACTGTATTTCCATCATTCCACATTATGTTTCGATGGTCACTTGGTTATATAGGTTACAGCCACCATTTCTCTTGTTTTCTTTCTAATAATTTTTTTTTGCAAATATTTCATTAAGATCAGGCATTGGAGAATAATAGAATAATAAATATTGACCATCTACATAAGTGAGTGACACAGAATGTCACAGGTGTCTTATAACTCTTATCTCCTTTTGATAAAGATCTTATGACTCTCTTCATCCCCTCATTCTGATTACTGCTTTTCCTTTCCTCCATTTTAGAAAAACCTGTAGGCTGCTATTGTTGCATTGCTAATTAACATTTTGTGGAAATTTAGGACCATCTTAGGACATTTGTAAAACATTCTCCTTTGTTAATTCCTGTGTGTGTGTGTGTGTGTGTGTGTGTGTGTGTGTGTGTGAGACAATTTGGGAAGGAACTAGAGAAGGATAAAAATGTAAGAAGGAAACCAGAGTCACAGAATTTCAAGGGATTAGGAACTTTCCAGAAGAGGATGATTTATGGTGTCAGTGTTGCAAAACCACCAGTGAGAACTGAGCTGGAGAGCAGGCCAGCAGAACTGGCAAGGAGGCAGTCAGAAGTCACCAAAAACTGTTGTAGAGTTCAGTTATGAGGCTCAGACTGGTCTTAAGCACTGTATATATATTATCTCATTTTTCCATTTAATTAACATACTAACTCTGTGAGATAGGCATCTTCTCTCCATTTTGTGGGTTGGCAAAAGGAATACTGAAGCATAAAGAGGTTATTATTAAGAACTGTGGAAAGTCTGAGATCTTACCTTTCTCACAAGCTAACAAATTAACCAGCCACATGTTCATAGATGCTAGCAGAGGACAAAACATTCCTGGGTCAGAGACGGACAGATTACTTCATTACTTGTGGTATAGCAAGTGGCATGAGCTTCATGTTCCTTTGCCCCTCATGTCCCATTGGGATGATAGAGAGTAACCCTGGTGAATGCTGTATGTAGGGTTTTGTGTCACTACAGAGGAACTCTAAGCTTAGGAAACCCCCAATCTTATAAGAGGTTTCTAGCAAACCTGTCCAACATTGCCACAGAAGGAGAAATTATCTTTATTATCTTGGTGAGGAGATACATCAAATCTGCCTTTCACATCAGTGGGAAACACTCTTTGTATTTCCCAAGGTTGTTTGCTATACTAATATCCTTGAAGAGACAGTACAGAGCAAAACCTCATCTAAGATGTGCAGAAATGCCAAGGAGAATTGTTTCTCACAGTTACCTAACTTGTTTGGTCTTACAGAGCTAGTAAGTTCCCAAATAGAGATTTTGGCAGGTTTGTCTGACACTAGATTCCATATTTTTAACTGTTATTGTATGGCAACTACCAGGGTATCCTTAGGTTAATGAAGGGAGTTGGTGTGATAAAATGTATTAGCAATAAAGTGAAGAATGAGTGAAGATTTCTAGGGCTAAGTAGGTAAAGGTACTTACTATGAGGCCAGGTGTTTGGGGAATAGTCAGTATAGAGGTTGAAGTTCCTGAGGGTGATGACTAGAGGCAGGAGGGAGAGGAGATCCATGAATATGGCAGTGAAGTCTATGAGAAAGGGAATGACCTTAAGGTTTGTAGCTGAAGAACATAAGAACTAACGTGCACTGAATAGAGGGCAAACCCTTTTAGAAGTTGTCTCTAATGACATTTGTTTTATTTCTGGAAACTTCAACTAAATCTCCACCTACATTCTGTCTTTGTCATTCTCCTTTCTATTGAGGAAAACTACAACTATCATTCAATCAATGATGATGTGTTTATTCAACATCTACTGTGCATTATACTGAAGAAAACTAACACAGAGGTAGCAAAGTAGTAAAGACGGTTATCCCCCCCTGCCCTACCCCAAGTTTGGTTTTTAAAAAAATCACTTAGGAAAATATAGTATGAAACAAAAATAGATACGTGTAAGAAGGGCTGGATGAAACAATAGAAAAGTTCTTACTGGTATGAGGTTAAAAAAGGGAGAGGGCTTTGCCATAAAATAGTAAAGGAGGGAGAGTTTGAGTAAGATTGCAGGCTGTAAATGATAAAGAGGGTAGGCACAAATGTGAGGAAGGACATGGGGTTGGCAAGGTTCATATGATATTTAAGGCATCCTACATATACCGTTTGTCTGAAACAGAGTCATTTAGGGGAGTAGTGATGCTCCCTGCCTATAAGAGATATGATAGATCATGGAGGAAGAGAGCTGTTTTTACAAGAGGTGTGTTCACATTGTAACTCCTTCTGTTCATTACCTTGACTGAGGAGGAATGAATTCCAACTGAGCCACAGTCTCCGGAATGCATCAGCAACTTTTATCATTGTGTCCATTGTCTGTGGTCTTGAGGATGAATGTAGACATATCACTATTATAAGTTTTCAAAGAAGACAAATATTTTAAGTCCTTAAACTAATACTATTAGTAATCTAACAATTATATAACACTTGCTATGTGCTTGGCACTGTTCTAAGCACTCTGTACTGAGCACTAATATATTAACTTATTTAATCCTCATAACAGTCCTATGAAGTAGATCTTATCATTATTCATATTTTAGAAATGAGGAAATCAAAGCAAAGAGAAATTAATTAATTTGGCTAGAGTCACATAGTTGGTATCTAATAGAATCTGGAGCCCAACTGAGGAGTTCTGGCTTAAGGGACAAACTTCTAAGCAATGCTTCCTCCTATTCATTGTGTAGGGCAATGGCACCATCATCTTCCAATTTCCCAAGTCAAAAATTTGGGAGTCATTTATATGCCTCGTGATACTTACCCTCACATCCATACAGTGACCAAATCCTTGATATCTCCCCAATCCTTCTTCTTTTAGGTATGGCTTGTGCTCCTAGCTTAGTTCAGGCTTTGTCATTTATTACCTGGATGACTTCCTCCAGTCCACTCAAACTGTATAAGCCAAGATCACCTTTGGCTTGAGATATTGGGCATCAGGCTGCTGCTAACTCTGTGGGAACTGCTTCTATTGTAGGTCAGTTCTAGTTGTAATATACCTTCTTATTCCTTCTGCCTGCGGGAGATTGTGGGGGTGTCTTTCACATTCTTGATAATCCATGAAGATGTGATCTCTGCAGGACTTTACTAGAACCTGTCCAAGTTATGACACCAATATTGGAGTTCCCAATTTTGGCTCTGGCTAAAGCACTGAATCTAAGTCAGAAGTTAATTCGATTGTTAAAGTTACTTTGGTTGGTATCTATATATCAAATTATATATGTGAGGATGGCATCTGTGAGAATAGACTTACATTTTTTCATTAATCCAACATTTACTTGCTTCCCATAGTGCAACAGACAAAAAGCTAATTTCCACTAGATGCTGCAGCATTTTACAATTTTACCAGTAAGGTAGGAGAATGAATGTTTTCCTCTTTCTTGCCAACCTTGAGAGGTGGAAAACTGATTAAAATTTTTACTAATTTTATGGAGGGCAGCAAGGTGTTGTTTATATTTCCAGTTTTTTCATTATGAGTGATATTGAGGATATCACATTTTCAAATACTCATTATTTATAGTTCATTTTTTGTGAGTTGCCTATTCATATCATTCCCCTTTTTTATTGCATTCTATAGCATTTCCTTATTGATTTATAAAAACATTTTGTATATCTTGAAAATTAGCCATTATCAATCCTATATATCTCAAATAATTTTTTTACTTTGTTGTTTTTCATTTGACTTTGCTCACAGTAGATATTACTCCAGAGAAATTTTACATTTTTTATAAGATTGTATCTTAGTTGACCTTTTTACTTCCTGTATTTAGCATCGTACAATGTTTATAGAGATGTTTATTAAAAATATTTGCTGAACAAATGAATGAATAAGTGAACATATGTAGGCCATTTTTCATGAGTACCATAATAGTTATCTTTTATACAATAATCCTTCTCATCAATTACACTGAGATGTTTACTTTAAAGTCAAATATATGCCTTATTTAAATGGTGATTGGGAATGTGTTGGGAGTGTATTGGGTGGAGTTTGTTAACAATCTTAGAAAAGTTCTGCCTGAAGTAAACTAAAATCACTTGTTCTATGATGCTACAACAAGGCAAGAGAATACAGAACCCAGTTGTTAATTTTCTGTACACAACATTCTTTTTGTTTTACCCAATTAACAAATCTACATTCATAAAGGCTATGCCATTTTACTGGGTCTGTAAAATGTGATAGAGGCACAAATAACCTTTTATTCTTGAAGCGTGGGGGTATGAACTACAGAGACAAAAAGTCACCTCCGTTAGGATGCCAAAGAATAGTATTCTAGAGAGAATTTGAGTTTCTAAGACTTGGAAAATTTCTATCAAAAGGTCATATAAAATAACCAGAATAGATTTAGGATGTATAAAACTTGCTTTTTGAGCTCATAGTCTGTATAATGGTTAGGAACCGGGCTTCTGGAACCAGCCTGCTAAATTTCAATCCAAATTACCAATACTAATTTTTTAACATTGAGAAGTTACTTACCCTCTCTCTACCTTGGTTCCCTCAGGAGTAATAATATTGTTTATA